TGCCGTGGTCTTTCGGCTTCCAGTCTAAGAGATATTAAGCCGGTAGAAACATGTAGGACGCAAAGACAATAGTGATGTAAGACTCCATTTTATTTCATAAGCGGAATGACGCTTAATGCGTAATGCTCCGATCAATGTCATTCCGAAAACGTCTTGGCAAAATTAGATTCATGTTTATTTGTTTTTGAAAAGTAAATCACAAAATATACATGAGCACGCTGTTTTTGGAAGATATTTACCAATTTTGCAATTTTCTTAAAGTTAAATCAAATTTTCGAATTGAATGTCAACTCGCCTTAAGGATAAACAGAAGAAAATTCCAATCGAATCTAGAAAAAAATGTCTCTTTTAATATGTTCACATTGAAATGTAAATTCAATTCTTGAAGTTTTGGTTGAAAAAACATGGCAAGTTATTTTAATTTGAGGCAGGAATCTGTCTGCAGTTTTTCTCGCGTTTTGACCATTATTATGTTAAAGATAACAAGATGGCATCAATAGGTCTCATTATTATTCATAGAATTGCCAGGAATTAGATTTGATTTTGTCAGGAATAACGATCAATATTTCTCTGATATTCCAGCCTCCTGCAGGTCTTCCTGCAACTATAGATTTGGAATTATTTTACACGATATACGTGAACGTAAACCAGGGTTTAACGACCTAGTTTTCAGCCCTTAGTTTAGGCTGATGAAATGGAATGGGGATTCTAACCAGAACATTTTGCTTTCTATACAAGAGCAAGCCCCTGAAAGTAAAATGTCTCCAAAGTACATATCTCTATTGCAAGCTGTTTGCAATGTGTTTAAATTTCATAACAAATGCTTGTGAGACATGTATACATGTATAAAACAAACCTCACCATGGTGCTAGATGTTTATTTACTTTAGTTTGTTTGTATCCATCGACAGATTTGGAAACATATTTTTTATTTTATCTGCAGATTTAGCAGGGCCTCGAAGCATCTATGGCGATTTGTTTAATCTTGAAATATTCTGATCCCATGACATCTTTGAAATTTTTGCCATAAATGTTAACATCCATCGCTTCTAAACATATTTTTTTGAAATTAATTTTTGACGAAATATTGTTTTAAAATATAAGATACTATAAAACAATTCAGGAAAATTTGACTTTTTTGACAAAAGGCCACAGCTGCTTTTTACTCTGTGCTCTTCTAATCAAATGACATCTGTGACTCTGTGAACCGTAATCGAATCATTTAATGTCCCTTAACAAAACCCTTTATAAAAGGGCATATATCTATATCCAATAGACTAAGACTATATTTGATAATTATAAAAAAAATTTTTGTTTATCGAACCAAATGTTACAAATGTTTCTTCTCTTTCAAAACCTTTTTAAATCTGATCACTTTGAAGTAGATATGTTCTTTATTCTTCACCGTACAACAAGTAGACCTGTGTTCCTACTACTTGTTGAGTGAGTGATTTTGTATCTGTTTGAAGTGGAGCACCTGTTAGTGGAAGGGACGTGTCTCGAACACCCAGAAGCTGGTTATATTCTAAGATTTTATTCCCAAAGTTATAAATTGAATTATTGATCTCGAATATCTGGTATTTATTCAGTTTTAAAGTTTGGTAATGATTGGATCATTTCGAAATGCATTCAGACAGATAAAACTATATACTTGCCCTTCTATAAAAACTGGGATCAATCCGCAGTCAGTGGCGAGAAAAACGAAATCGACATCCTTGAAGTCTTGCACTCTCCTTGGAATTCATTCATTCATTAATAATTTTCAAAAAATTTATCGGGCATCAACCTTCTCTCTTTTCTCTATTCAATTCATCCCTAAACTAGTCTTGACATGCCTCGTCTTGCATATTTTAAATTAAATATCGTCCCGTCTTTCAAGATCTGAAGTGTATAGAAAACACCTATATAGGTATAATAACAATACAGTGTTTTCTTATTTAGGTTTGCCGCAAGGAGTTGTCTTTATGCCTTTATTCTTTATGTATTCTATTCTTGACTAAGACACAATGTTTAGTCAAAGGCAAGCAATTTAAGACTCAAATTTCAAACGAATTTTTGACCGGTTACAGAAAAAAATATCTTTGTGAAAAAACAATGACTTGAAGTTAGTCGGCATTCAAAAAGTTACTTTGTGTGTCATTGAACAATTAGCGACCTAGAATTGAAGACGACTAAAGTTGGGTTGTAAACTATGTTGACGACATTTTGAAGAAAGAAGATCCGCCCTCCCTGGATCTATCACCATTGCCCAGTACATTAAGATTTTAAAGAAAAATTGTTTTTGGGGACAGAAAAACTAAGATACGGGGTAGAGGGTTGTAATAAACATAAGAAACAATTATACTTGGCACGAAAGCCACACTGAATTTTTCAACATCAAAATCTCTGACGTTAGATGCTTCGTTGTGTTACCTCTCGTACGTTCTGCCATTAACAGCTTCTTTTTGCCGCGTGTGAATATCATTCATTCATTTATTCATTCATTCATTCAAATGCCTCTTTTGTTTACAAATTACTCCATTTCAAATACAAACATGACAATTTCCACCTCATTAATTCAGGAGAAGAAAATCTTTGTCGTGTTATTGAGAAATTTACTTATAATGTGATAATCTTCTCGACAATTTACTAAATATAGATCACAGAGCGGATTAACTTAACTCTTTTAAACTCTATATATAATATAAATTATCATTCAGTGTGAACCACTGTAATCTCCTCACTTTTTCTTCAATAAGAAAATATGTTCATAAACTACTATGATAAAGGCTTCTATAGTTCATTATAAGAGCAAAAATACGAACAAAAACGTAGTTAAAGAGTTTTATATATCGAAATGCATTTAAATGCAAATTTTGAATACGATTTGTTGTCAGGTATTTGCTAGTTATTTTGATTTGTGAAGAAATATAAAACCGTTTGAAATTCGACTCGACAGGGCGTAAAGCAATATGATACAATTTTGCACATTGTATAAAAGAATTTTTTTATATTAATTTTGTACGTAAGAAGGGTAGTTAAAGCGTGTACCAATTCGTTCTACGGTTTTATTTCTTACCATTCAAACTCAATATACGGTGTGTAAATAAACCAAACAGATTCAAAGCCTTGTTCTACCTCGCTCTATCGCTCTGGTGCCTCTAAACGACAGGGGTTCCCCAGCCCTTTATTCAGTCGTCGTGTCGCAGAGTACACTAAATCACACTTAAAGGAAACCTTTTCCCCTAAAAAATGTTATCAAGTCGCGCCAGGTAACATTCGGGAATTTTATTGTAGTGTTATTTGGGAGCGAAAATCGTCTCAAACGAACATGTGTCAGCACTTACGTGAATATCTGATATGGAGACACAAAATGACCGATTGCATTCTCTTTTCGAGACAGCGTTTTGCTAATATTACTTACACCCTCTAGTGCGGCTTACTTCAAAATTTCTTTGATGTTCCATTGTATTTTCAATGAGAAACATAAGAAACAAAGCATGTGTATTATTGTAGTAATGCAAATCTAAAAATGATTTATTTTATATTTCAGACGGTGGCGGAGATTTCTACCCAGGCTACCAAGGTGGTTATGGTGAATTCTTTGGAATGGGACCGGGACCAGACGGTCCAGGAAATATGAATTTTCTACCTCCTTCCTCACAAGGTATGTAAAGATTATCTCCCTTTGAGGCCTATAAATTGTATTAAACCGTATAACGCATAGCTGACCGGTATACCATTTGCAGTCAATTTTAATTCAAAGATCTATATATTGGATTATCAATAGCAGAAAGAAACAGAATTTTGTCTTACATCTTCAAAGGAATGTCCCAGATATTCTTGCG